CAAACCCAATAACTGCTCCATAGGAGAAAGATGAGGCAATCTGCTTCTGTAAAGATTTGTAGCCTAGGAAACCCAATGAGGGTCACTGTGAGTTGGAATCGACTTGATGGCAGTGAGTTTGGTTTTCTGAGTGGGGATGAGGTACAGGTGTCAGTATTGTGTGGACACTCTCGTCATTCTTATGTGCAGTGAGTTGAGACCCACTTTCCCTCCTCCGACCTCACTCTCCATCCCATCAGTGTGTATAGAGTATAGAGTTGTTGCTGTTATCTGGGTTTAGCGCAGCATTCTTATCATAGCTTTTTTTAGATGTGAGTTTTATTTATTCTAAAATAATTAAAATAATTTATTCTAAAAAAATTAAAAGTGTGCTTTTTTTTTTCATTAGACCCTTTATTCTGAAGAGCTCTTAATTGCGTACATAAAACTTTCAAACAGTGAACATTTGTCAGGCATCAAAATAGCAGAATGAGGGAGTCGGCCCTCGGGTGACTGGGAGGGCTGTTACATCCTCTTCCGTGAGTGTTGTTGGGTAGCTTGTGCAGCTCCTCAGTTCTTGGCTCCATTAACGAAACACTTTTTTTTTTTAAAATAGGCAGTCAGGTTGTACCCACAGTAGCACACATTAAACACTGGTTGGGCCTATCTTCCCTGTGTCGTTAAATTTACAAGTTGCTTCCTACCCCACCATCATACTCCTATGTCATTGTTCTTCTAAACGTGTGTCAGTTTTGTGCTTGGGCACAAAGAACTGTGGCTGCCTTGTCATCTGTGTTCACGTGCCTGCGACTCAGTGAGGTGCAGGGGGCTTCTGCTTGCTGAAGGCCCGGGGACTGGTCCACGGAGCATGCTTCCTTCTTGAGTGCTGGGGGTCTTCTTCTCCAGCCCACACTCCAGTGTGAAATCAGAAAGAGGGGAAATAGCAAAGGCAGCTGAAGTCCATGCCAGGGGATCCACTGTGTCTTGTATTTAAAAAAAGAAAAAAGTGGGGGAGCATGTGTGTTTGGGCAAAGTTTAGGTAGAAAACAGGCTAGCGACAGGTGCAGTACTTGGTTAAAATTTTTAGTCCAAAATGAGAGTTTTCAAAAGATTTATTTCTGGATTTCAATGACTTACGCAATTCCTCTTGCCCATTTCTATGAATAATCAGCATTTGTTTTTGTGTGAATAATAACAGAACAGATTCAGCTCCCTGAGTTTTACCATTTTGAGCAACTATTGTAGGGCTGAAGGCATGTGCTATTTACCAAGCTGCATGGGTAGTAATGATGAAAACGACAAGGAGAATAGTAACGGTTGACATTCTTGAACTCTCACTGTGTGTTAGGCACTGGCTTTACATGCATCATCTCATTTAATTCTCACAAGAACTCTTTGAAGTAGGTTGAGAGTGAGCTCCATTTTCCAGATGAATAGGCCCAGAGAGTCCCATAGCTAGTGACTAGTGGGATCAGATTTTGCACAGAGCAGCACGACTCTGAGTGTTTGCTTGCTTTCTGCCCTGTGTGTCACTGGGGTAGAATGAGCCAGCACTGTCACACCAGCCCTTGTCATTTGGCTGGGAGCTGTCGGGAGAGAGGTATCTGTGTTGCTGCAGGGAGCAGACCTCTTTTAGACAGGAAGTCAGTCAGGGCATCAGGCAGCAGCACCTTCACTTGCTGATAAGACCCCAGCACTCGTTGACAACCAGCTCCTGTCTCCCCGTTACTAGGGCAACAAAGATGTATCGGGCTGACTGCTTGGAAGCCTTTGTTGGCTGTGGCTCTGGCCCTGCCCTTTGCCAGTCCCAGTGTTCCTACCCAGAGTACCAGCCAGTGAGGGAGCTGCCCTAGAGGAGAAGGTAAATCTCCACCCGTAGTTCACTGCTTCTAGGGGTAAGGAGCCCTGGAGGCATGACAGTTAGGTGCTTGGCTGCTGATGGAAAGGTTCATGGTTTGAACTGTCCCATCAGGAGTTCTGGTGGCACAGTGCCTAAGGCATTTGACTGCTAACCAAAAGGTTGGTGGTTCAAACCCACCAGCCACTCCATGGAAGCAAGACTGGGCAATCTACTTCTGTAGATTTATGGGACTCGCTGTGAGTTGGAATCCACTGGACAGCAGTGGGTTTGGTTTGGTTTGGTTTGGTTTTAGGGATAAGAGCCCTGGAGGCACAATAGTTAGGTGCGTGGCTGCTAATTGGAAGGTTCACAGTTTGAGCCCTCCCACCATGCAGTTTGAGCCCTCCCACCAGCTCTGCAGAAGAAAGACCTGGTACCCTGTTCCTGTAAAGATTAGCTCAGCCAAGAAAACGCCCCGAGGCAGTTCTGCTTTGTCCCATGTGATGTGGTTGCTTTGAGTCAGAATCCACTTGAGGGCACCCAGCACCAACAGGGATGAGGCACAGCGTGTTGAGGGTGAACGTGTCCTCTCTCTGGGAAGAGCACACTTCTAGCGCACTCTCCAAAGGGCATATCACGTTGTTATGTTGGTGATCCTTCCGTGAGCATAGTTATGTCAATGCATGGAGCCGTTCTCTCTGCCCCTCTCTCTGTCGAGGCCAACAGAAACCCTACTTAGCTGGCAGATTACTTAACCTGTCTGCCCCCGTCTCCTCCTGTGCAGAATGAGGGTCATCAGTTATATCTGCCTGCAGTGTTGTTGGAGCCCGCGTGCTGCAGTGGTTTAGTGCTCAGCTGCTAACTGAAGGGTTGGTGATTTGAACCTACCAGCTACTCTGTAAGAGAAAGTTACGATAGTCTGGTTCCATAAAGATTAGCTTCAGAAGCTCTGTGGGGAAGTTTAGGAACTCTGGTAGCATAGTGGCTAAGGCACTTGACTGCTAACCAGAAGGCTGGCGGTTCAAACCCACCAGCCACTCCTCGGAAGGAAGATGGGACAATCTACTTCTATAGTGATACTGCCTCGGAAACCCAAGGAGGGGTCACTATGAGTTGGGGCCAACTTGGCGGCACATAACAACAACAACAACACAGGATCACTATCAGTCAGAATCAACTCCTCAGCAATGAGTTTATGGGGTTGCTACATACATATATTTGTTGTTGTTGTTAAGGGCTGTCAAGTTGGTTCCAACTCACAGTGACCTGTGTACAACATGGCTTGTGCCATTCTCACAATCACTGCTGTGTTTGAGCCTATTGTTGCAGCCACTGTATCAATCCATCTTGTGGAGGATCTTCCTCATTTTTGCTGACCCTCTCTCTTACCAGGCATGATGTCCTTTTCCAGGGGCTGGTCCCTCTTGAGAACATGAAAGTACATGAGATGAAGTCTCAGTCATCCTCCCTTGTACAGAGCAATCTGTCTGTACTTCTCCCAGTACAGAGTTGTTGGTTTTTCAGACAGTCCACAGTGCTTTAATATTCTTCCCCAGGACCGTAATTCAGTAATTCAAAGGCGTCAGTTCTTTTTCCGTCTTCCTTATTTATTGCCTAGCTTTCACATGTGCATGAGGTGAGTGAGAATACCATGCCTTGGGGCAGGTGCATCTTAATCCTTAAAGTGACATCTTTTGCTTTTTAGCACTTTAAAGAGATCTTTTTGCAGTAGATTGGCCCAATGCAATATGTCACTTGATTTCCTGACTGCTGCTTACATGAGCATTGGTTGTGGATGCAAATAAAATGAAATCCTGACAACTCTAATATTTTCTGCATTTGTCACGATACTGCTTATTGGTCGAGTTGTGAGGATTTGTTTTCTTTGTGTTGAGGTATAATTCATGCAAAGGCCGTAGTCTTTGATCCTCATCAGTAAGTGCATCGAGTCTTCTAGAAATACATATATGTGTACATACACTCACAGGTCACTATGAGTCATAATCAACTCAACGACAGTGGATTTGGTTTGTTTTTATAGGATTGTTGTGAGAAGTAAAAGTAAAAGTATGTTTGGTGCTACAACAACAGACAGAAATAGAATATGATGTAGTAAGTTTTCAGTGAGTGAGTGTATTAGTCTACTGTTGCTGCTGTAACAAATTACCACAAACTTCGCGACTCAAAACAACACAAATGTATTATCTCATGGTTCTGGAGGTCAGAGTCTGAGGTGTGGGTATCGCTGGGCTGAAATCAAGGTCTCAGTCAATAGGCCTGTGTTCCTCCTGTTGTTTTTTTTTTTTTTTTCCTTTTCCAACTTCAGGAGGCTACCTGTATTCCTTGGCTTATTGTCTCTTCCTCCATCTTCAAAGCCAGTAGCATAGTATCTTTAAATCTCTCTGTCTCAGACTATGACCTCTGCTTCTGTGGTCCTATCTCCTTCTCTCTTCTTCTTCTATCTTATAAAAAGCCTTGTGATTACATTGGGCCCACCCAGATTAATTCAGGATGATTTCACATCACATGGTCTGTAATCATATCTGCAAAATCCCTTTTACCATGTAAGGCCACATATTCACAGGTTTTGGGATTAGGATGTGGTTATCTTTGGGAGCTATTATTCATTCTACCACAATAAGTATGTATTAGCCATTTTTATAAAATGAAACAGAACTTAACTGGCTGGCTTGGGGGTGGAATAAAGAATACTTTGACCAGTGTACTAGTAACTAACAACATGGTATTGCACACTGCGGTGTCAGCTCTGTCCTACCTCAGAGTCTGCATCTGGACTCCCTTTCCTTGGAGCTTGCTTTATTCTAGAAGTTTCGCTGGCTGGCTCCTTGTTATCCTTCAGATCTCAGCTTAAATGCCATCTCCTCAGAGAAGCCCTCCTTGATTGTCCTTGCCAAAGGCCCTCCTTACCCCATTTCCCACATCACATCACATCACATCACATCACCCTGTTTACTTCTTTCTCAGGAGTGGTCATTGTCTGTAATCTTTCTGTTTCTGTGTCTGCCTGATGTGTCCTGTCTGCTCTCTTAGAATGTCAGCTCTGGGAAGGCAGGGACCTTGCTTGCGTTATGTCCCAGTGCCTGGAACAGTTTCTGGAACAGAGTAGGTGCACGGGACATATCTACTGAGTAAGTGAAGGAAGCATTATTAGCATGATATCATGCACTTAAAGCCCACACTCTCCTATGTGGTGGTGTCGTTAGTGCCATCGAGTCGGACTCGACTCATGGCGACCCCTTCTTGGGTTTCCGAGGCAGTATCACTATGGAAGTAGATTGCTCTACCTTCCTTCCAAGGAGTGGCAGGCACTTTTATTATACTTCCACTTCATAGATGAAGAAACCAAGGCTCAGAGAAGTGAAATTATTGCCCAAGGTTAATAGTGACTGAATTTGCACCCAGGTCTGCCTGGCTCCAGATCCTTGCTTCCCACCATCTCCCCTACCTCATGGCCTTGGGTCCATCATTCGCCACTGTTTCTGAATGCAGCTCCCTAGGCCTACCTGCTGGCCATCTTGACCTTGCTTTTCCTCTATCTAGGTCTGTTGTGTCGAGTCTGGACTCCCCTGCCAAGACTAGCTCCATGGAAAAGAAACTTCTCATCAAAAGCAAAGAGCTGCAAGACTCTCAGGACAAGTGTCACAAGGTATTTATTTCCGCAGCTGGCCTCCTTCTTTGCTCCAGGATCCTCCCGTCAATATATGCCAAGGGATCCGCCCGGGGCCGCTGCTGGCACTGAGCCACCTGATCCGTAGAGAGCGAAGCGCTCCCTCCCTCGCTGAAGTCGCGCCTCCAGCAGCTCAGCGGGAGATGAATTCGGGCCTTGACGTTGCCATAGATCCTTTAAATCTTAACCAAAGGAGGCCCTGGATTTAAAACTGCCCGTTTCTCAGCATGACCCGCCCAGACGTCTGCTTCTTCCAGCAGGTGGCATGGGTCCTCACCTGTGGCCAAGATGCACCCCATCTGCTTTGAGTGATGTGAAGTCTCTCTTCCCAGTCTTTTAAAGCTCCTGCTTATGTAACTGCGGCCACGGTGTTGATTATGCTCAACGTCTCTTAACACTCACTGTTCCTGCCCAGGGGCAACTCTCTGGAAGCTAACAAACGTCACTCTTTGCTTGGGACTCCTAAAAGTGCAGACAAATAAGTATCTCCTTGCCCTGTCCTGGATTTGTCTTCTAGATCTTTGCAAGGAGATGGGGGGGAATCAAGATGGATTTGGGATAGAATTAAAGTGACGTCTGCAAAAACAAAAACAAACTAAAACCAAACAGGTGACAAATGGTGATGTGGCTTCCTTGCTACCTGGGTTAGAGAAGTGATCAAGTGGGAACCTGAGCCTTGAATGAGAGGAGTGACTTAGCATTGGTGACTGTCCTTACGAAGAACTGTGCTTTCCTGGGCGAAGACAAAATGGTATCTCCATCCCAACTTTTGTGGAATTAGTGATAGCCTAGACCACAAGATGGTTTCAGAGGCTACTTGAGATTTGATTGCTCCTAACGAACCTCCATGGGCCTTTTTAACCTGTCAATATGTTTATTTCAGATGGAGCAGGAAATGACCCGGTTACATCGGAGAGTGTCTGAGGTGGAGGCTGTGCTTAGTCAGAAGGAGGTGGAGCTGAAGGCCTCTGAGACTCAGAGATCCCTCCTGGAGCAGGACCTTGCTACCTACATCACAGAATGCAGTGTGAGCCTTCCCCAAAGCCCCCTTCCCTTGGAGGTGGCACTTCCTGTTGTGTGTGTCTCATCCTGTTTCATGATGGCTTCATGAGGCACATCACAGCCAATGACAGAGAGTAGAGAGAGGAGGCAACTCCCAGTACCAAAGCAAGCTCTATGATTTGCAGAGTAGCGTGAGTCAGGTGTGAGATCCCAAAGAAGTGGGTTGAACCCAGCTGGAAGTCCAGGTAGACCAGTGATACTGTGAGCTTGCAGGTGTGAGCAGGGCGTCATTGAGTGAGTTGCAAAGGGTCCTAATATCTTATATCCCAACCTTTTTGGTCTACATTGTGTCCGCCACAATCCATCTTGGCAATTAGAGTACCAAACATGTATAGGATAATGTGTTTGGCGCCTGCTCGAACCTAGAACCAGTTTAGCAACAAGACAAGCCAGCCTTTGAAGTACAGACCTCTGTCATTATTTACCATGTGACTCTTTTTTTTTTTTTTTTCCCTTCACCAGAGTAGACTGTCTTTTCCATTGTCTTGTTAAATTTTCATTCAGGTGTTTTTTATGTGCCCAATTAAAAAAGCCTTAAGAAGTTGAATCACACATTTTGAAAGTTTTTTTCACAAGAGAGAGGAAATCTATAGAGCGTGGCTGATTAAGAATAACTGCTATGTTTCCATTCCAGACTTGGCTGCGTTTCAGTGGTGGGTGAAGTTACTCAGCTTTGTATTTCAGATACATATTTCATTGCCATTGAAGCCTGGAGGGAACCTTATGGATGAAAGGTATTCAGGAAGTGAAAGCCAGGAGGTGGAATTAGACTAGTTGGAGTGTATAATGACAACCAGGCAGAGAATGAAGTAGTTTCTATTTGGAAGAGGGATGTGCGTTTGAGAGCCCACAAATAACCAATGTTGGAGATAAAAAGACAATAGCCATCAAATGGCAGTTATAATGGTTCAGGGATCTTGTTACTGTTTGGTCCTGAACACGTGAGTAAGTACCTGTTAAGACAGGTAGATGGTGGTAAGACACAGGCTGATGAGATTTCAGGCTGGATCCAGAAGGTCATGTAGTTGAGATGATGTTTCTTAACCCCTAGGGGTTTTACAGGATGAAAACTGGAACCAGCAACAAACCTGCAAGCTGTAAAGTTTGGCTCCGTCACCGGAAACCGTCTTGGTGTCTGCGAAGCAGCTCTCTTAATTAATCTTTTCAAACCAAGCAGGATCCATGGGGCCTTCCTATTAAAATGTTTGCTTTCCACAGAGCTTAAAGCGCAGTTTGGAGCAAGCACGGATGGAGGTGTCCCAGGAGGATGACAAAGCACTGCAGCTTCTCCATGATATCAGAGAGCAGAGCCGGAAGCTCCAAGAAATCAAAGAGCAGGTATGGCTGCTTGCCGGGGAGCAGCGCGGCTCCGCGGCCAACACACGGACCGCTCATTTCAGGAGAGGTGTTTGAGAGCGAAAGAGGTGTATGTAGGTCATTTGGAAACTTGAGGTTTCCCATGATTTATGTAACTGCTAGAGTGCTTGTTCCAACTCCTTTTGAAGTCTGTACCCCGTGATATCTTTTTTCCTTTTAATTAAAAAAGTCGCTTTAGAGCAAGGTTAGGAAAACCATGGCCCACAGGGCAAATCCGTCACACTGCCTGCCTTTTTCAGAGGCCTTGGATAGTGCAGAGTTTTAAATTTTAGGCTGCTGACCAAATGGTTTGAATCTAGCCAGAGGCACTCTGAAGAGAGGCCTGGTGATCTCCTTTTAAAAAAATCAGCCTTTGGAAACCCTGTAGAGCACAGGTCTGCTGGGACACGTGTGGGGTGGCCATGAATTGGGAATTGACTGAACAGGAACTGGTTTCTGATCTGTTTTCTACAGCCTAAGAATGATTTTTACAGTTTTCAATGGTTGGAGGAAAAAGAACAAATAAAAAGAAGAGGACTATTTCATGAAATGTGAAAAATTACATGAAATTCACATTTCAGTGTCCATAAATAATGTTTGATTGGAACACAGTCATGCCCATTCCTTTCTGTGTTGTCTGTAGCTACTTTGTATGCTATTTGGCGGAGGTGAGTAGTTGCGAGAGACAGTAGAGCTAAGACAGACTATTTACTTTCCTGCCCTTTGCAGAAAAAAAATGTACTGACCCCCATTTTAGAATATTAAAAAAATAATTAAAATATTAAATGTTTAAAAAACGCTTCAGATACTCTTTAAAGTTTTGCAAGAAGTCAGGATAACTCAGTTTTAGGTACATAAAGAAATACTCTGGAAGGTGCATTTGAGCAATTAAGGCTGAGTCAGGATGAACACGGCATATCCGAGTGCAGGAATCCTGTATGTTTAGAAAAGAGAACCAAGACCTTTAAAAAGCCTTCTCTTCTTCTTTTTCGTTTCTAAAGGGTATTGTTGGCTTTTTTTTTTTTTTTGCCCCCCAAATGGTTCATTTTTATATTGCCTCATTATTTCCTTTTTGGAATGGGTTTTTCTATCTTTTCAAGAAACTGTAAATAGAAACTTTAAAGAGTTAATGGTAGTGAGTAATTGGAGAGCTCAACTGTCAGCTGCCAGGCAACTCTTCATTCATTTCGGAAAATCTAATGGCAATGTCGAGGGGAATGAGCAGTCCTTTCCTCTGAGTAGCACAGACTTAGCCATCTGGGCTGTGCTAATGCAACAATCTTCTTCAAATCATTTGACCCATTAACTACTCTTTAAAGAAAAAATGATTGTTTTTGGGGTTTTGTCAGTATAATATATTTACCAACTTATTTTTTTAAATGATGAGTCAGTATCTTCTTGCTCAGAGCAGATGTTTGAAATGAACGTACATAGGACATTTTGGCATATGGTTATCAGTCTGAATACCAATACTAATCTTGGAGATTTTGAAGGCCACACAGGGTTTGATTCATAGACTTCGACAGTTGACTCATGCCTCCTTTTATTAAGACAGTTTTTCATTCTGAGAGTTTCAAGAGGCAGGATTTTTTTTTTCCCCTCTTTTATTAGTTCAGTGTGTTTTGAAATTTACTTTTGGTGACATCCTGGGGAAATGAAAGCCGTGTTTGGCCACCAGAGGGAGCAGCTGGTGTCCACGAATTCCATAGAAACAGAATGATCAGGACATTTTGAAAAGGTATATGCTGGTGGTTGAGTTCAAAGAAATGTCTTTTATGATTCGTACCACAGTTGGAATGCATGTGGAGTTTTAGATTTAATGATTGGGAAAAGTTTCATTATGGGGGAGAAACTTCCTGGTTTCAGATTTTATTTCTCATTGGAAGAAGAATGTGTTAAAATGACTTTGGGTAAGTTTTGTGAGAGCAGGATGTTTGCAAGCCAGGAAAAAGCGTGTAATGCTTTCAGCAAACTCCCAGTATTTGGTTTGCAGCATATTGATTCCTCCTAGATTTGGCATTTATTCCCTGTTCCTTCTTTCAAATGCTAATTTTCTGTACAGCTAATGGCTTATTTTTTAAAAAATATTTTGCTTCTACTTAGCTACCCCCACAGAGTATGTGGATCTGGTTTAAAATAAAAACACCCAACGTGTCCTGTGATCGTGTGATTCACAAGCTGTCACTGGTAATTGGTGATCCCTCCCTTCCCCCTCCCAGGAAGGGAGACAAAAATGTGGCTAACACCCAGGTCATTTCTGTTTCAGGATTTCTGATTGAGTAGGACCATGTCTTCTTTCCCATAAGATTCTGTAGCTCCATTCTGAAGACTTGCCATCGGAGGCCTGAAATGTGTCCACGGCTTCCTACTTTGACCCTGCTCGGTTCTTACCCACAATCCACTCCATGCTGAGCTACTCCTGCCTTTGGAAACAGCCTGATGGTCTTCTCTGGTTTTTTCTCAAGCAGAGATTTGGTTAGCTGCTGCGTTTATAGGATTTCCTTGAAGTATCCAACGTAGTAACAGAGGATCAACAAATGAGTTAGAATTCCTTTTGATGCTTGTAGCAGGCTGAGTGCCTAAGAGCTCAAGAAGCTGACAGAGATGTTGCCTTGTTCTTGCCTTCCTCCCCCTGGGTGCTGACAGCTCAGGAAAGAGAGATGTTGGGGGAAGAAACAGCTGCTAAGACCTCACTCTTAACATAGCAAAAATTTACATTGCCTTCTTGCTGACATAAGTTCAAGAGAGAAAAGGGAGCTTGAGGAAAAATTTTTAAATTTTTTCCAGCTCTGCTTTCTTGGTCTCTGTGCCTGTAGGCAGGTCTGACTTACCCATTAGATCCAGCAGGCACAGTACCTGGGGCTCACGATACTTTGAGAATGCTTTAATTTTTTTTGAAAACAGAAGAAAAATTGAATGTTTTAAGGTTGAAAAAATATTTTCATGTAAAATGTTTGTATCAACGCTGTTGTAATATATAATTTTTAGTATTATTTGATGGGGAAGGGGATCTCTGAAGGCACACGTGCCTTGGGCTCCTGAGTCATAACGTAGGCCTGGCTACTATTGTGTGCTTTCAAGTCCATTTTGACTACACTCACCCCCATGACAGAGTAGAACTTCTCCATAGGGTTTCCTGGGCTGTAATCTTTACAGGAGCAGATCCACCCGGGTTTTCCTCCTGCAGAGTGGCTGGTGGGTTCACACTGTTGACCTTTTGGTTAGCAGCTGAGGGCTAAACCATTGGACCGCCAGGGCTCATTAGTCTAGAGAAACTCAAGTAGAGATGTACCACTTCGCATCACCTGTGTTCATGGTCCAGTCTGCAAGTTCCGATGGTCACGAGCAGGTTACAGGGACCTTCAGCTATAACCCACCCAGACGACTTGTGTGCCTCATGACCCTAGGACTAGCCTTCAATGATAATAGTATGTTTCTCAGGTGGGAGTGAGTGAAGTAAGACCCCTTTTCCACCTGGGGCTCGTTTTTTTCCCTTTTCCCAACCAGTGATAAAAGGTGGGACTCACCCGTAAACAGTCTGGTTTTCCTAAGAAAATCTTCTCCCCTGTAGCATTCACTGGGGGATCTCTTAACATGAGTGAAAGGGTTACTTTATGCCTTATTATTAAAAATGTTATAAAATGCATTTTACTGATTAAAAACAAAAACTTGACCCAATAACACACCAGTTATCTTGGGGGAGAAAAGTTTTAAGAAATGTTCACTGAATACTGTGAATGCCAAAGACGGTCTCCATTCTCTTCCTGGTCTTCTCATTTGGTATCCCCTCCAGGGCACCTGGGGTTGGCTAAATGCTCTTCCTAATCCTTGTACTTAGCTTTGGTGTTGCTAACAAAGACGGTTTTTGTACTTTGTCTAAAAGTTTTCAAAAACGTCACCCATTTGTTCTGATAAATCCAGTTTTGAAAAACCTTGACTCACATGTTCTGTTTGATTTTAGAAGTTCATTTTGGAAAAGGCCGGGCTGTTTAGATCACTGTAAAGGGTTTGCTCCAGGGATCAAGATAATTCTTTCCTTGGGATTTTTCTCACAAGTTATTCTGATTAGAGCCAGTGTTTTCTGTCTCTTCTGGGTTTCAGGGTGACTTGAATTTCAGGAGCAAAATTAAGTTCATCATTCAGTTTAGCATCCAGAAAAATTAATGGTGAGAAACTGACATAATGAGTTTCACCTTCCAAGATTCTTTCCACTGAGATTTCCAATTACCCCCTTGTGCCACCATCTGAAAGGTTAATTTTAAAACTAGTACCATATCTAATTGTGTTAGAAGCACATGACTTCTAAAGGACAAATCTATATAAATGATTACCCTTGGAGGAAAACTACACGTAAGCAGTTGATCCTCCTTATTCAGAGAACGGTTCCTTTCAGCTCTCCTGTGTTACAGACAATGCCTTCAGGCCCTGGGCATATTGTGTGATGTATGTGCTCAAAGGCTTGCATCAGAGGCACGTGTGTGTGCTCCAGATGTGTTCATTAATGATACGTGTTCTACAGTACATCCTCCCTCCTCTTTCACCTTCTCCCCACCTTTGGTCACACAGACTTTTCTTCCTCTTTCTGTCCTTCTTCTCACCTTTGCTCGAGGCCTGTTCTCTGCCAGTCTGTCTTCAGTGTGTGTCTTCCTGTGGTGCTAAAAGAATGCTCCAGTTTCCTCCATCTTCCCTGCCTGTCTTTTCTTTCAGGAGTTCTAATGCTCACCTTTATCCCATTGCCTGCTGTCTAGGAGTACCAGGCTCAAGTGGAAGAAATGAGATTGATGATGAATCAGTTGGAAGAAGACCTTGTCTCTGCAAGAAGACGGAGTGATCTCTATGAGTCTGAGCTGAGAGAGTCTCGGCTCGCAGCTGAAGAATTCAAGCGGAAAGTAACAGAAAGTCAGCATAAACTGATGAAGGTAGCCAGCCATCCTCCTGGAAGGAGGTCACCGCGTGCTTTTATGGTGTTTGGGGTAGAATCATGGGTGACCAGGCCAGGAATAAAGGGAATAGTGTCTTAATGGGTACCTATTTGGGGAATAATGGTATACCTTGGAAAGCTCCCAGTCTTCATTTATAGAAGATAACTTTTTTTTTTTTTTTTTTAATTGTGATTTGGGTGAAGGTTTATAGAGCAAATTCACTTTCCATACAGCGGTTCACATATACTTTGTCTCATGACATTGACCACAGTTTACCACAATGCAACAGCTCCCCTCCTACTTCCTCCCCATAGTTACCTCTTCCCTGTGTCCATCCCTCCATGCACTCCTGCCCCCTGAGCTGTCTCCCTGTGCATAAGCAGCCCTTCTTTCTCCCATGATTGTTCTCTCCAAGGAGGTATCTACTTGAGGTAAATGTTCAACTCATATGCCTGTCTTTTGTTTGGCTGGAAACCACAGGTGTGAGTTTAATTCCAGACCTGAAGGGCAGCTAGGGGCCATAGTCTCAGTGGTTCCACCAGGCTCTATTGGACCAGCAAACCTGGTCCCCCCCACCTTTTTTTTTCTCCAAATGATTTTGAGTTTTGTTCCACATTGTTTTCCCTCTTTATCAAGGATCTCCTACATAGATTCCCTTCCAAGTGGATGACAGTGGTAGCCGGGCACCATCTAGTTCTTCTGGTCTCATAGTCGTATAGGCTACAGATCGGATGGTGTACCAGTTGCTAGGACTAATTTTTTCCATGAATTTTGGTTTTCTTCATTCTTCTTTGCTCTGGACGAGGTGAGACCCATCGTTGCATCTAGATGGCAGCTTGCTAGCTTTTAAGTCCCCAGTCGCTACTTGCCAAAGTAGGAGGTGGAACAATGTTTTGTATAGTATGTTATGCCAATTGAGTTTGATGTCCCCTGCGACTATGGTCCCAAGCCCGCAGGTTCAACTACTCGGTCCTTCTGGGTAGCTGGCTGTGACCAAGCAGTGACCACAACCTTGCCCCTTGTCAGCTCTACTATGCACCTGGGAATTCTGATCATTCACATAAACTTATAGGACCATTGTCTGCCAAGCCTATATATTTTCTTGGATATACTCCCCATTTCATAGACATACCTAATCGTTCAGCCTGTCCGCCCATCTATCCACCCATATACCCATGTTAGCCTTCACTGACAATGCAGTACTGTATATACAAAAGAGTTCATATTTGTTGTCTGTACCTCCCATGTACCTCTCTATGTCTTTGTCATCCTCAATGCTGCCATATTGGTCACTCACATTTGGTACATTGCCCTTCTCTTCACCCAAATCAATACTTATCTCTATCTATCTAACAGCGTTCCCTCCCCTCCCCTCCCACCCCTGGTAACCAACAAAGAAAATTTCCTTCTACAGATAAACCTTTCCTTAACTTTTACAATAACGGACTAATACAATATTTGTCCTTTATTTCACTCAGCATAATGACCTCCAAGTTCACCCATGTTATGCGGTGTTTTGCAGATTCTACATTATTCTTTAGTGTTGCATAGTATTCCATTGTGTGTATGTACCATAGTTTGGTTATCCATTCCTCAGTTGATGGACACCTAGGTTGTTTCCATCTTTTGGCTATTGTAAATAGTGCTGCGATGAACATGGGTGTGCATATGTCTGTTCTTGTCATGGCTGTCACTTCTTTAGGGTATATACCTAGTAATGGAATGACTGGGTCAAACGGTATTTCTAATTCCAACTTTTGAAGGAATCGCCATACTGCTTTCCACAATGGTTGTACCATTTTACGGTCCCATCAGCGATAACTTGTTGTTTTGAAGAAGTCCTTAGTGGTACAAACTGTTAAGCACTTGACTCCCAGCTGAAAGGTTGGCAGATCAAACCTGCCCAGAAGTGCCTTGGAAGAATAAATAAATGAGACCGCAGTAAAGGCCTGGCAATCTGCTTTTGGAAGGTCACAGCCTAGAAACCCATATGGAGCAGTTCTGCTCTGCACACACAGGGTCCCTGTGAGTTGGAATTGACTTGACAGCAACTCACAACAATTATCAATTCAGACTGTACTTCCCAGACTGAGATAACTCAGTATGAGTTTGGTCACAGAGATTAAGAAAATATCATAGGTAGTCTTGTCTGGATGACTGTTAGGTTGCTGAAATTTCCCACTATGGTGTCTCTTTTTAATTATAGGCTAAGGATCAAGGAAAGCCTGAAGTGGGAGAATATGCCAGACTGGAGAAGGTATTTTTCATTATTAGTGTCATTATTTTTTGTTGATAATATTTCTACATTGATGTCAATGGCCAGTCAGCTTTGGGGTGACCGCTGTAGCCTCAGCTGTGGTTCTAAAAAGTTATGATAAAAGACACCTCATTTTCTTGCATGCCTGCTAACAGTAACAAATACACCCAGACACTCAGTAAAATACACAAAAAAATTCCAGTTGCTTTAAGGCACCAGGCAACTTTGAGTCTCTCTTCTCGATTTATATGTTGCTAGACCTAGAGAAATAGTAAAGATGGCTGAGGCCCTTGAAGGACGTTTGCCCTGGCACATTCAGAGACTCTTCTTCCTCTCCGTTAGTAGGTTCTGGAAAACAGAAAGACCCTACAGACACCTCAAGTGAATGAGACTGCAATAAATGTAGCCAGACATTAATACCTATTTGCCTTTTGTTTTATTTCCTGGGGTTTTAACTATAGATCAATGCTGAGCAGCAACTCAAAATTCAGGAGCTCCAAGAGAAACTGGAAAAGGTAAGCCCGGGGTGATTTTCAGGGGGGACTTACCCACCATTCCCACCTTCCATTGCCTTGTCCTAGAGCTCTAAAGAAGAAAGAAATGGAATTAGTCACCCAGCGCTGAGGAGAGTGAAGAGGGAGCGAGTTCTTACCTGAAAACCTCAGAGTTCTGAATATATTTCTTCCTCTTGAGACATGTCAGCAGTGTTTATTTTTAAATACCAACCTGTACAAGACTCTCAAGTAAAAGTTCTAATTATACTATCACAGAACCCAGGAGGCCGGTGTCGCTCCCCTTAGGGGGCCAGGCTTTCCATGTTGCACATTTTAAGAGAAGCATGTGTTGCTCACGCCCCAGACTGCTTTCAGTCAGAAACTTGGCCAGCAGCTTTGACAGGGCCTGGCAATTGGAAGGAGTCCCTCATTGGTGCAAATGGTTAATGCCCTGGGCTGCTGAGACAAAGGTTGGGGGTTCGAGTCTATCCAGGGATGTCTTGGGAGAAAGGCCTGGTGGTCTCCTTCCAAGAAATCAGCCCCTCAAAGCCCTGTGGAGCACAGTTCGGCTCTGACCCCTGCGGGTGCTCGAGACTCGGGATCGACTCGATGGTAGCTGGTGTAACCGGTGCTTCGAAAGGCTGAGGGTCTGTGGTAGCATCACATGGATTGGGAGGCAGTCCACAGCGTCCTGCAGGGTTTGTGCTAATGGCCCTCCCTCTAGCAGCTGACCACTGGAAATGCTTGACGGAAGGGCCAGAATGAATGTGGGTCTGAGACATGCCTTTCATACTACGAATGCACGTGTGTGGGCCTTTGGTTGTGATTTGAGAGAGCCCCTTTTTGTGTACTTTCGTCCCCCAGTGGAACCCTTCACCACCCCCTTTTAGCTTAAGTGAAAAGCTTGCTGCATATTTTCTTCTAGAACTGTGATGTGTGATGTGAGCCATCATTGAGACCCACAGGTATAATTTTAAATTTTCGAGTAGGCACATTAAAAAGAGCAGAAGGAGAGAGGTGAAATGATTTTGATAATATATTTTACTTAACCCAGTGCATCCAAAATATTGTCTTTCCATATGTACTAACATTTTCAAAATTTATACTCCTTCAATTTTTAGATTAATTAAATTAAATAGCATTAAAAATTAATTTATTAGTCACACCAGCCACATTTCAAGTGCTGAATGACCACCTGTGCCTCGTGGCTATCCTGGTGAATACTGCAAGTCTTGAAGTCAGGGTTCTCTTGCAGTTTCCACTTGTAAAAAAATTACTTCAAGGAATTTAAAATTCTTGATCTCTTAAACGCAGATCTTTACTCTAGTGCTTATGTAAGTTGTAGTATAGGCAAGACCCAAATTGAAAGTGAACAAGTACAAAATTAACATCAAGAGGTTTAGCTGGGATTTTTTGTTTAAACATGTCTTTGCAAAGTACCATGAACATGATGATGGCTGTTGTGCCCTTTGAAAGGTATTTACTTGAAAAATGTTTAAATTACAGCTTTTGTTTTGTTTTCACCTTGTAAAAGTAGTACAAACTCCCCATAGGAAAATGAGCAGATGAGATAATTAAATAAGGAGAAAATGAATGCTCAGAGGTCAATGCCCTTAATACCTGGGTTGGTACATCCCTGTAGATCTTTTCATTTGCATTTGCTGTGTTGCATGGATTCTGAGTTTCCAGTGATTGTGCAGTACGCCATTATCTTATGTGCCCTAAGAAAGGAAAAATGCTAACAGTTATGATGGTAGGATGCTTCCTGACCTCAGTGAGGTTAAAATGTAAAAAACAAACAGACAAAAACAAGTCTAGAATAAATGGAAGACAGGATAAAACTGATGCTTATGTGTTTGGGGAAAAATGGACCCACTCCATGCTCAGTATCACCTGCTTTTTTTCACCTCGAGTATCCTCACCATCTGTTTACCTGAGTCAATGCGGTCATCTATCTCTTGTTCCTTCTGTCCTCCTAGGCTGTGAAAGCTAGCACAGAGGCCACCGAGCTCCTTCAGAATATCCGCCAGGCAAAGGAGCGAGCAGAGCGGGAGCTGGAGAAGCTGCAGAACCGAGAAGATTCTTCTGAAGGCATAAAAAAGAAACTGGTAGAAGCTGAGGTGAGCAGCGGCTAATCCCGGCCCCGGCCTGGCCACCTGCAAATACCTGTGAGCACCTGTGACCAGCCTCGGGCTGTGCCAAGGGAGAGGAACTGCAAAACCATCCATTGCTTACATTTGACCAAACCGCTCTCCCCTCTCAAAATCCCTTTGAAATGTGAGAGGCTTGGAAATGTTGTCCCCAAAGGGGACACAAGGTTTGTCACAGCAACTTCAAGCAGAAAGAAGTTTGATGAAAGCCTTTCCTTTGTTTGTTTTCCTCTGACCTGCTCACTGATCTGAGGGAACTTGCATTTTTATGGATGAAATGTAGCTGTCTCTGAATCGTTTTTTTCTTCCCTGTGTATCTTTGTTTTTCTTTGCCTTTTCCCCACAATGTTAGTAACTTACCAGTTTTCAAAGCTTTAGCCATTGCCTGTGTGTTAATGACTCTCAGATCTATAGTTTTGGCCTTCTTCTCTCCCACAAATTCTTTGTTGTTGTTGTTGTTGTTGTTATTGTTGAAATCATTTATATAATTATCCAGGAAACACACACGTCTTCTCATTGTAAAAAACATACATAGAATAGAGAGTAAAAGTGACATTTCTCCTTTACTCCTCTCCACCCTCCCCCTTGGTGTTTAGATGTGCCATGGTTGTTTTACTGCCCTCCTCTTGTTGGACCTTTGCTTTCTCCTATCACAGTGTTGGTGTGAACCTGCTTGCACATGTCTCTGGAGCCATTCTCACCCCATTCCACGCCTGTATTTCCCACTGCCCCTCTGACACTCTGTTGGGCGTATCAACGATGTGTTATATTTAGTGTGAACTCAATATCTTCCCCACAAGTTAGTTTCCCTTCTCGGTGTCCTCATCACCATCAGGGCCACTGCTGTTCTCCTGGTCATCCCAGGCTTGAAACCTCGGCGCCATGTGCTTTTGCTTTACCCTGCCATTCACCGAGTCACTCAGGCCTATAAATACATCCGTGCTGTCTCTCCCGTTCATCCTCTCCTTGTCATTTGCTTCTTCATAGTCTGGACCCTCTGCCCCTTAGCTGTGCATATGTAATAATCTCTTGACCTTCTTCCTTCCAGCATCCTTTCTCCCAGATCGTTCATATGGTGTAAGATTCGTGGGCCTCAAGTTCAAGGCTCCTCAGCATCTCCTGCTCTGCCCCACCACAAATCTTTCAGGGTCTATAAATCTTAGGTGCACTCTTGGGCCTCGTACACAAAACTGAACAATTGGACCCACGAATGCTACCCTCTCCCCTGCCTATTCCCCTAATGCATCCCGTGTTACAGCTACTCTAGACTTTACCTCATGCCTCCACCAACTCTTGACCATCTCTGTGCTACTCCTGATACATCCCCTTTGTCTGAAACCCTTTCCATCCTTCTCTCCTGCCTCTCCACCCCAATCTGCCAAACCCTGCCCTTCTCCCAAGCTCACGCCTCTGTGACTCTTATGCTCAGTTATTTTTTATTAGAAGTCCTCTTTCCTGTCTGTAACCATTCATAGTATTTTGTATGTATTTCTTTTATGTATTCCTTTAACTTGTCTATTTGTGTCTGTGTTATCTTTTCCAAGGGCAGGAATTATGTCATCTTCTTTGAATTTTCCACGATGCCTAGTGTGGTACTTTGCAAATAGTAGGTGCTTGGTAAATATTTGAATGAATGAATGCACTCTTGTAGCGTCACAACTGACTCCTTGGATTCTAGAGCCTTGTCCTCTTTGCCAGTGCTTTGGAGGCCGATGACTTTTCTTCCTGACTAGAGTGTGTGCTTCTTGAGGGCTCTTTCCATCAGTGCAGGGGTTATGCCCATAGCGGTTACTCCATTAAAATTCTCTGATTCACGATCTACAGGAACGCCGCCATTCTCTGGAGAACAAGGTAAAGAGGCTAGAGACCATGGAGCGTAGAGAAAACAGACTGAAGGATGACATCCAGACAAAATCCCAACAGATCCAGCAGATGGCTGATAAAATTCTGGTGAGCGGGAACAAAAGTTAAAAAGTTAAAAGATACTAGGTTAGAGGTTGCAAAGGGAAGGGGGTAAAGTGAAGAATTAAGTACCGTAATGGGGAGACATCACCAAGTAGGTAAAGTAAGACGGGGTTCCAGTGAATGGATGCCACGTCATGGAACAGCATAAATAACTGAATGTTGGACGTTTCGGCACTGGTAACAGGTCCCAAAATAGTAATGCTTGCTCTGTTCATGACAGCCTGGCGTTTTTCGATATGAACTTGCGTACCCTGTCATTTTTTTATGCATTTTTACGAGACCGTTGCATACTTCTATCAGCAGAGCTCTACGTGGCCGTTAACTTTGCAATGCCGATTCAGAAAGCTGTAGGATTCAGACCTTTAAGACCGAAGGCCAGGTTCTTGCCGTGGAAGAGGAAAGGCATTAGTCATGCAGAATTGTTTTTCTCAGAGTAGTATTTGTCATAGATCCATGTTCACCCACTCACTTTCTCTGCTACAGTTGGTTACTTTATTTTATCTTTTTCAGTTTCCTTAGATGCAGCAGGTCTCTTTTTAGGTTTGTAATCATCATGGTTCTGTTTTAGGCTCTGATGACCAAATTCAGTTCAGCAAGGAAGGCTTGCAGATGCGTTAAGTTCTGCCCCTGCCAGAGGGTGGAAGGCAGGTGAACCTTAGAAGGACTTTCCTTGCATCTTAGTCCAAGAGCCAGAAGTTGAATGCAACAGTTGAGAGATTTAGTGATGACTGTGACTCTGGTACATACCTCTCCCTGCCCCGCCCCAGGAGGAACTCTGAAGTGGGGTCTGTTCCTCTCTCACCGTAAGGAGGTGAGGTGGTGAGCTGGGCACTGCGTCTCTCTCTGCGTCAGTCTGGGAAATGAGTCACTAGCAACCATCTGAACTGAAGGATGGCCAACTGACAGGTGTATACTTGATACACATTGAAAAGAAAGAAAGAAAAAAGCCTTCACAACTTTACATTCCTGTGTTTGTTTGTATATATTCACAAATAAATGCAATGCTCTTGAACAAACCAAAATAGTCAAATTGGTTAAATTGTTTTGTATTGACACACAGTCTTCACATATATATGTCTATACAGAAAAACAAATGTGACTGTTAGTCTGCCCTTTCTGTTCTCTTGTTCCATCATCCAAGTTTCTCTTGGCTTTTGTCAAGTGTGTGAATTATATTGTGAGTAAAATTAGATCCCACCACTATCACTATCCCTTGCTTGGTTCAAATGAAGTGGTTAACTCTTGTGGTTGCAAGATGTTTCTCTGTTTAATGGTGATGTGTTCATTCATTCATTCAACAAATATTTAATGAGCTTCTACTATGTGCCAGGCACTGTTCTAGGAGCTGGAAATATAGCAGTGAACAAAAGTGTTTTCACAACAGGACTGCAGAGTTGATCTAATATATACAGAAAAGATATGTTCAAAGAATGACAACAACAACAAAAAATACCAAACCACAAAGAAGTCGGAGTTTAGAATATCTGCTTTCCCAGAGGTTCCCTTGTAATTAAAATGCAGGCAGATAGAGCCCTGCATTCTTAGATTCTGTATTATAAACTCCCATTCATAGTCTAGAAATTTGGTCTTAATATTGCCAATCTCGGGTGTCTGAATTTTGATCTACATTTAGAATCTGATTTCCATTCCTGTGCTATCTCACGAGGACCAAAAATTTTAAAAAGGATGATTATCAAGTGATTTCTAATTAAAAAAAGAAAGTCAGCATATTCTTTCTCTGACTGTGTCTTGCCACCTACCTGTGCCTTTGTGGTTGTGACTTTGTTTATTTGCTTAAGAGCCCTGTACAAAGGCTGCCTAGTGTCTGGGACGTGGGCAAAGAGCAGTCCTGGATCCTGTTAGATAATGGCGATGCTTTGGAAACAGATCAAATGATGTCATTGCTTTAAAGTATTTACTATTCTGATAAAAAGTTTCAAAACTGGCAATGTGACTCATTTATAGCAAAGTCTTTTCCTTTAATGAAAGAAGTTGTTGCAGGGGGATTGTTTAGTGAGTGCACATAAAACCCCTAGAATACGTTTTTATTAATTAAAATCCTGTTTACATTCAACTTTTCAAGATTGCATCTGTCAGGCTGCAGTAGATCTTGTGCACCTGTTTAAGACTGAACACTTTAATGGCACCACAGACAAAGTCAATGATTGTAGACTTTAGAAATTCAAAAGCTTAATCACTAACATTTTATGTGTGTGTGAGTCTGAAAATACTCTCCCTCCATTTTATGAACATATCCTGTATAATTTCCTCATTCTTCAAAATCCTCATAATTGCTTCCACTTCAAAGGAAAAATTCATAATAGCTTAAAGTGATGAAAACTTAAGAGTAATGACTTTTGATGTTAGTAATTAACTAATGGGTCCAGAGTCATAAGAATTTATGGAGATGCAGACATCCGTGCATTCGGAGAATGTTTCAGTGAATGGATGCTGCTGCCTTTCATAAGATCAGTTTATAATACACTGGCAAATGGAACTGTCATTTTACTTAAAAGCAGAAAACTGAACAATAAAAGAACTCAGAGAAGATTAAATTTGAGATACTTACATTACTCCAGTTCCTCTTCCCATCTTCAATGGATAAACATATATTTTTATATCGTTATTAGTGTGTTTTGTTTGGCCTTGTTTTCATTAGCGTTAGACCCTGTAAATGTTATGTCATGTAAACATCTCCAGATTTCACACAGTCCACATACTAGTTGGTTTAGATAATCATTTAGAAGTGGAAGTGTTGGAATTGTAACTTTAGTTTTTCTTCTTAGCGATGATTTTTGAGCAATAATTTTGTTAATGAGGAAAATGCAAAGTATTTTTTTGCCATAAAATGAATTAAAATTACTTTTCTCATTTAAGGCTGTCATAATGAGGAAAATAGACTGAAGACTCAAGGGAGTGCTCAAGGGCTTTGTGCTGTACAAAATTTTCAAATATTGCCTTGTTACTCTTATTTCTCTATGGAAAGATGAAGGCCTGCCTTTGCTTGACCTTGTCACACCAACACATTTCTGACTTTAGCCCTCACAGCCCACCGGGTGGGTGTGTGTGGGTGTGTGTGAGAGAGAGAGACAGAGAGAGAGAGAGACAGAGAGAGAGAGAATGCTTGGACTTGGAAACTCCAGGGCCAAGACTCAGTGGTGATTTCCTTCCCCTTAGAGGTAGTAATGGAGGAACAGATGCCTGTGGCCTGTGATTCCTACACCAAAGTCATGTTTCCTGTGAGTGTCTAACATGCTTTGGGGATGTCCTTCCGTCTGCACACCTGACAGTCTGTTCCTTTGTATCCAGGAGCTGGAGGAGAAGCATCGGGAAGCCCAGGTCTCAGCCCAGCACCTAGAGGTGCACTTGAAACAGAAGGAGCAGCACTACGAGGAAAAAATTAAAGTAAAGTCACTTTCTCGTCTCCCCTGACATTCCTTCTGTGACACCATACAGCTTCTCTTCCCGGGTACTTTTGGCCACTCCTTCCTAGACCAAAGGACTGTTTGGAGTAAAGGCTGTGCTCAGTCCATCATGGCAGGTTTTGGAGTATTACTCTATATGGGATTTGGATATCTGAAGTTAATTATTATTATTTTTTGTTGGTCAAGTATCTTAATTCCATCTTTAAGACATTTTTAAAAATCCCACTGTCATTCAGTCAATGAGAATTTAGATTTAACCACAAAGTCACCATACTCTTTGCTTTTAAGTTTCTTTCTGATTCTCAGAACTGGATCCTTTTCCTTTTGTTTAAAGTATATCCTCGAGAACTTCCTGAGTGAGGCTTCACTAGTGACAAACTCTCTATTTTGTCTGTCTGAAAAAGTCTCTCATTCATCCTTCTACATGAATGATATTTTGACTAGAGATAGACTACTAGGTTGGCAGTTATTTTCTTAGAATACTCTTTGAAGATACCATTCCATTGACTTCTGGCTTTTATTATTACCACTGAGAAGTCTGCTGTTGGACTAACTATGGTTTTCTTCCACAGTTACCGGTTGTTTTTCTTTGGCTGCTTTAAAATTTTTTCCTTTGTCTTTATCCTTCTGCAGCTTTACTGTGATGTGCCTAGATGAGGATTTCTTTTTATTTATCGACTCGATATTTGCTGGGCTTTTAAAATAGATTGTTAATTTTCATCCATTCTGAAACATTACTGCCTAGTATATTTCAAATATTGTCTCCTCTTTTTTTCTTATTTGAAAATTTAAGTAGACATCTGTTAGATCACCTATAGTCTATCCTCTAAAAATATTATCTTCTTCTTTTTCTCTCTGCTACATTCTAGTTAAGTTCTTCTGACTTATTTTCCAGAGAATACTTCATTCTTAGCTGTGTCTGATCTGCTATTAAACCAATCCATTTTTTTTTTTTAATTGTGATTTGGGTGAAAATTTACAGAGCAAATTCGTTTTGTATACAGCAGTTCACATACACTTTGTCTCATGACATTGACCGCAATTTACCGCAATGCAACATCTCCCCTCATACTTCCTCCCGATAATTACCTCTTCCCTGTGTCCATCCCTTCATGCACTCCTGGCCCCTGAGCTGTCTCCCTGTGCATAAGCAGCCCTTCTTTCTCCAATCCATGTGTTTTAAATTCTAGTTATTGTATTCTCATTTGTAGATGTTTTTATTTGGTTATTTCCCAAGTTATTAGATGATTTAAGACAGTTTTCTGTTCCTTACAGTCACTTTCAAACTTGTCTTTTATTTTTTCAAATACATTAAACATAGTTGTTTTAGGATGTATATCTGATAATTCCAATATCTGACATACATGAAGGTCTGTTTCTGCTCTGTTGTTTTGCTGGGGTTTTTTTATGTTGCTTGTCTCCTTATGTGCTTGGTGAACTTCTCATTTTCTTTGGAAAATTAATAGTGGGAATTCTTTGATGCCTTGGATGAAAATATGTGCCCACTTTGGAAGGTGGCCCTAGCCATTGACTTCTCTCTCCTCTTACCTTATGAAGCTATCAAAACTAAAGTTCAGGTTTATTTAGCTTAGCAAATGCCTCAAGTTAAAAGCAGCTTTGTTCCTTTTTTATATTCTTTTTCTGTTATTTTAAATAATTTTCAGAAGGAGGGCTGGCCTAAGTAATGTAACTCAACAAATATCTTTCAAAACGGATGCCAGCCTCTGAATTTCCTTTAAAATCATATGACAGTTTCATTATGATTTTGGACTAAACCTTTATCTCATTCTTAGGTTCTTGAGACATGAAAGGAGGCTTTTAAGTTTTCTGATGGTCCTGTTAGTGATTTGACGGGTATTCTCAAAGAGCTGACTGTCTCTTCGGGGAACTGAACTGTGTACATTCACGCTCGGCACCACCACCACTACCCTGGCCCCTTCTTTCTTTTCCAAAAGTGTTACTTTTGGAAATAAAGGCAAGTAATCCCGAAGTGACCTCAAAGTGTTTTAATCTGACCACTTACTTTAGTGCATTTTAAACTTCATATACCAGTCACTTTAATGTGAATTCTTATTCTTTTTCTTAGACTTTTGTCTTTGAAGTAAACTAATTTTCAGAAAATTATGAGAATGAGTATTCTCATTGTTCAGTGATCACTGTGCATAATGAATATACAACCCTTCATAAAAATTATTTTGGGGTTTGAGTGACTATATTGACTTTCTGGTAAAAAGCCATGTGTGTGTTTTAGATTAATTTAGGTATCTATAGTGGAATCTCCCATTTCCGACAAATTCCTTTCTTCCCTGCTTTATATATATTCTTGTTCATCCTTCTAGCAGTTTAACCCTTTTGAGACTGAGATGCATACATTCTTGAATAGAGGCTTGTCTTGGCTGTATCCAGGGGCCTCTTAGTACCCATCACTGCTGAAGTTGAAGTGTTATATTGAACAGACTCATCCTGAACTGTATTGCATTGCAGTGAGTTTGGTTTTTTTGTTTGTTTGTTTGGCACCTCATAAAAGAAGAGCCACATGGTGTAGACGTTAGGTGGGCTCTGCTACCTTCCAGATGGAAAGAGCTTTGTTTCCTAGATCCCAGGGAATGTTAGGGAAAGGTCTATTCTCTTCTGTCTTACCTACTGGACTCTTCATTAAAAAAAAAATCTCTTTCTAGCTTGCTCTGTTTTGTACTTCCTGTTCCAGCCTCTATAAGGCGTTTTAGTAATAATTATGATTATACCCTAGATTCTGCCCTTTCCTGCTCATAATTTTAGAACGACACCCTGGCATCCAAAAGACTGGGCCGCTTAGCCTGTTGAGCTGCTTCTCCCCTCATGACCCCGGTTTCCACCTTTTGTTCTTCCCCACCGACTCCCATTCCATTTTTTCCATCAGTTGGGTCTAGTTTAAAGCCCTCTTTGAAATTCGTCCTTTCTTTTCTTCATCATACAGACATCATCCTGCTGACTGCCTCTTTTTAAGGAAGATGTTCCTATGAACTCTGAAGGCTTCTTCACAATAGGCAGCATAGGAAAAACAGATTTCAATCCCTTCTGTGACCCCAATTCTTTCTGTTTTATTCCCAACACTGAGTTGTCCTTCTTGATGCAGTTGCTGTCACTTGGAATAGCAGAGTGTATTCTCTGTGATCAGAAACATTGCGTTGTGATCATCAGACAAGGTAGGATGTTATCTTTCTTTTCTTTTTTTTTGTGCTTGCTCTTTTGGCAGCTGGTAGGCCTTTGTGTGCCTCAAAGAACATCAGATCAAGCCAGTGAATGGTGACACCATTATGGTTTTATTTTGTCTTTTCCTCTTGGGAACAGTAGGTGCTTATTGGTGTTCTTAGCACTGAGAACACATGTTCTCTTCTCCTGGGAAAGGTTCCTCTCCCAGTGACGTTTTCCCCTCAGCTGGACCAGAGGAAAGAACGGAAGGAGGAGGCATATTTTTTCTTTCTTGTATTCGTTCTTTTCAGTCTATTGGCTATCTTCTTATTTTATTGCTAGGCAAAGTCCTCTTGCCTCAGTTGTTTCAGAACCTTGGCCTGGGTGATTCTGCCCTCCTCAGTGCTCAGCTTTCTTTCCCTCTACATATAGCCCAGTGTTATCTAGAATTAATTTTGTCCAAAATAAGAACAAAGAATGTTCTGAAACATCCTGCTGCATTGGTTAAGAAAAGGGTATCCTCAGGTAATATCTGTAAATACAGTAACTTTATTCTGTAGACCTAGCTCTTTAGAGAGAGATTTTTTTTTAAAAAATTGTTTTTCTCCCATTCTGGAACTCACTTCCATTCTGAATATACTTCATCTGTTATTTTTTGGCTGCTGATTTTGAAATAAATTCTTAGTTCAACTCTACCACCATTTCTGGTAATAGTTGGCCTCTGAATCTCCTCCTGGCTCATAAACAGATTCCCAGTCCTTCTCCTTGCCCCCCCAGAGTTTGAAGGCCTTGATGCTCTTCCCCTTCTCTTCCTTTTCTTCAGCAGGGTCCTTCTCAACTGCTGCTGTTTAGCCTTCCCTGCTCAGCTTTGCTCTTCAGGACATTAACTTCCTCTATTGTTTCCCATAGGTATTGGACAATCAGATAAAGAAAGACCTGGCTGATAAGGAGACCCTGGAAAATCTGATGCAGAGACACGAAGAGGAAGCCCATGAGAAAGGGAAAATTCTCAGTGAGCAGAAGGCGGTAGGTATGAGGGACCGACAAGTTAGCTTTCATAGGAGGGTTTTTGAAATACACCAGAGTCATATCTTGGAGAAGACACCATTTCGTTTGGCCAAATTCGTCTTCCTGTTTCATCCTGCGGTGTTTGTGGATAACAAGAATCTCTCTCTGCAACTGCTTCCTCTCCTAAAAGCAGAGGAGTTGGTGGCTCAGGGTGGCCCATTTTTTTCATGCTCTTCTTCGAGAACTCATGTTGATCTGCCAACAACTGGAATGTTGTCCTTCAGGATTGTGTCCTCTGGCAAAGGGCCCAGTGGCCTTGCCTCCCTCATTTGTCTCCTTTTAGTTGGTATTTCTCTTTCTCTCCTTTCTAAGCCATGTGGCCTATTGTTTCAGAAGCTATCTGCTCATAAGATTCACCTGTGGTCCTTGTTAATCTGTATCTCAGACCCTAAGGAGACTTTCCACTTCAGAATCTCTAAGGGAGGGTCTTGGGAAGTTATTGTTTAGCCAGCATCCCACCTAGTTCTTATGATTCATGAGGTAGTAGACACTTTGATATAGAGAATCTAGGACAGTAGTGGCTGGGTAAGAAGGAATACCTCAGAAAATGACAACTGTGAGTGATGATAAACACAGGCTTGCAGATTGCCTGTTAGTGGCTCAGGTCACGTGCATATTAGCTAGGAATTTAACAGAGACTGAATAGAACTCTCTGTGTATTTTTAATGGAAACTTCTTAGCTAGTGGGGGTTAATCTTAGTTTGGAGAAACAACTGAGTACCCTCTATTTGAGCAATAATATCAAGATCTAGATCTTTAAAGAGATATGACTGTCTGGATGAAGACTATTTGAGTCTCCTCCATTATCATTGGCTATGTTCCTTGCACTTCAGGCAAGGCTTTTACCCCGGGCCACATTACTTCTTTCTAGTGTAACTGGCTGTGTGTGAGGTTTAAAAGGAACCCTGTGTTTCAGATGATCAATGCCATGGATTCCAAGATCAGATCCCTGGAACAGAGGATCGTGGAACTGTCCGAAGCCAATAAGCTTGCAGCAAATAGCAGTCTTTTCACCCAGAGGAACATGTAAGTATTCAAAATCTGACTGAGCATCGTTACACTCTGACCTTCTCTCCTGGGACGTAACTCTGTCCTCCTCCTGCCGGTGGAGCTGGAGCAGATTGAATGACTTCGTAGTTTGGCCCACCCTCATATTTTTATGGAATTTTGGCCTCTGGTAAGTGGTCTCACTCTACCAAGCCCTCTCTTTTGAGTTAGATTTTCTTAAATTGCTCAAATTACCATCAGATTACAGAGTGTTTTAGTCTCTGTAATGAGGCTATTTATAGTTTGCTTTTGGAATACTGCTGGCCTTGTTCCCGAGATTTGCCTCCCAATTGGGCCGTCCATTTTCTGGTTGTTAAGTTAGGAGGTGGGGAGGGGAGGTTTGGGGTTCAGCAAAGACTGTCAGATAATTCCTCTGTCTAGGAGCACTTTGATCATAATCTTTTCCCACAAAGAATTACCATCTTCAGGATTTGTTTCCCTTGGGTTTCTGTCTTCACAGATCTTCTAGAACATACCCATCTTAATTTAAACCAGCTTGGTAGGCTGTTATTTTGGTCTTTGAGTTGTTCTAGTTTTTGATCACTTGGGTGGAGAGCTGAGGGAGCTCTTGAGAGAACTAGAGAAAAATAACATCCTTTCTCCTCACTGCTCCTTTCCCGTGGCCTGCCTTAATGAGTTATTAGGGTTGGGTCTCCAAGTATTCTGATACTCCAAGGATGCCCCATGGTGCTCTGCTACCTAGGCTCTCCAAAGAAAGAAGTCTACCAAAGGAGTGAAATGTTAGTGTCACTCATGACACCTGCCCATGCTTGATTAACCTCATATGTGAGGGACTCAGAAAGCAGCAAGGACTGAATGGTCCTAGGTCTCTGTGCTGCACTCATGCACATAAGGCTGGAGTAGTTAGCACTAGACCAGGAACGCCTGTGGCCTCATAACTAAGGGCATGTCTCTCGCTCTGTTTCTGTCTGTCCTTCTGAGGGGACATGCTTCCCTGCTAACGAGACTGTGTTTTTGTTTGGACCCCTCAACGCCCCCCACCAGGAAGGCTCAAGAAGAGATGATTTCAGAGCTCAGGCAACAGAAGTTTTACCTGGAGACGCAGGCTGGGAAGTTGGAGGCCCAGAACCGGAAGCTGGAGGAACAGCTGGAAAAAATCAGCCACCAGGACCACAGTGACAAGAATCGGCTACTTGAGCTAGAGACAAGGCTGAGGGAGGTGAGCAGGAGGGGTGATCTCCCAAGAGGATTTGTTGAGGACTTGGGTCCCAAGCCAGCCAGATCTCAAGCATAAATGAATATGTACATCGAAGGCCATGTGGTTAAGTATATTGATTCTGTAAACTCACAAATGACCTAATCTCTTCCTGCCTTAGTTTCCTCATCTGTAAAGTGACGATGATAATGTAACTGCTTCCTTTTAGGGTCGTGTGGGGATTATGTACGTTGAGGCATCTGTTAAAGGGGATCAGAGCAAGGCATCTTTTGTCGGGATTCATATGACCTCGTCTGTGTACAGGTGTACAGTGCTTAGCATAGAGTTGGGTACTGACTGTGCCTCAGAAACAGAGGTGCAGGTCTCATAACGACAGTGGAAGGTTTAAGAGGTGAAACTAAATTTTGGGGTTGGATGACGATGAGAGAAGATGCTTCTCTTCGTAGATATAAGGAAGCTGGGATGAGGCAGCCAGGATTTTGGAAGGAGAATGTGGCACGTTTGTTGGCAGACGTGTTGAGGGTGATGAAGCTGCTGCATAGCATTTGCACAGCCCTCTCACTGTACATTTATTAAATGCGGGCTGTGTGCGGCCGATAAGCTGGGTGCACAGTATGGACACTCGCACTGCCCTCTCACTGTACATTTATTACATGCAGGCTGTGTGCGGCCGGTAAGCTGGGTGCACAGTATGGACACTCGCACTGCCCTCTCACTGTACATTTATTAAATGCTGGCTGTGTGCGGCCG